AAAGTTTTACCGAATTGTTAAATATTTTATTATATCTATTCATTAGATATATTAATCTTGAATTAAATGAACGTCTTGTAAAACCTCCGAATTATGAGTCTGCATTTCTATCAACTTGATAATACATCGACATCAGCGAAAATAAAAAATATTATCTGTTTGACTTCAAATACTTTTGTAAATTAGATTTTGGTTTGTTTTTGACTTTGTGTTTGAAAATCAACTGCTATAACCTTTTTGTTATAGTATTTTGACACTTGTGTATAAAGTTCAAATCATAAATAATATTCAACGTTAAACTGGTACACAATTAAAAACATTTTATTTAGGCCTATCTATGGCCTTCAAAAAAGTTGACGACTCTACATGTTTCGACGTTACATCCTGAGGATGACGTTGTGTGGGGTGCGCGTATACCTGATTCGATTTTATTATTCATCAGAATCTGAATCTCTGGCAGGATAAGAGTAAAGTAAGCTATGACAGGATAAGAGTAAAGTAAGCTATGTCAGGATAAGAGTAAAGTAAGCTATGGCAGGATAAGAGTAAAGAAAGCTATGACAGGATAAGAGTAAAGTAAGCTATGGCAGGATAAGAGTAAAGTAAGCTATGAGACTTTGGGCGTGTTCAAATTCACCAATCGAAGAGAGAGGTCTGACGTCCTGAGTCAAAAACTGTAATTAGATCTCAAATTGGTCAAGATATGACGAAGCTATGAGCTAGAAGTTTGTACTTTAAAAAACTCGGAGTCATTCTATGAGCCGCTATAAAAAAAACAAAGGAGGGGAATGGATAGCTACGAACCTGGAGGAAAGTCTGATGTTTTAAACGCTACAAACCTATTGAACTCTACCCACTTTTTTTTTTTTTAGAAGTGTGGTAAGCCTAGTTTATTTTACTTCCTGGCTTCTAACGTACACGTTAGAAACGCAAACCTTATTTCTAATTATCTATACATTCCAACGAGATAAAAGAAATTGGATGGTCCATGATTTATTAGTCTTGGTCGAGTATTCCGGCCAGACAGAAGAAATAAAATGGACCATGATTTATTAGTCTTGGTCAAGTATTCCGGCCAGACAGAAGAAATAAAATGGTCCATGATTTATTAGTCTTGGTCAAGTATTCCGGCCAGACAGAAGAAATAAAATGAAAGTATTTGTCAAAGTTCGACTAGTGTTTCGGCAAAACGGGTTGTTGTTGAATTTCGCGCAAAACTACTCGGGGCTATTTGCGCTAACCCTTCCTAGGTTACAAGTGGCAGATTAGAGAAAAAGGCAGCTTGTCAACACCACCCACCGCCAACTCTTTACACACGAATTGTGGGATTGACCGTCACATTATAACGCCAACACAGCTTAAAGGACAAGCATGTTTCGATCCCGCGAATGTAGCATGACGTGTCAAATTACTTGTCACAGTCAGACAGATAACGGAAGAAATATACTGGACCGTGATTTATAAAATTCTACTGTATATCTGAACCGGTTTGTTCTTTCTCCTTTGGCTTAGTAGCATAGGCCGAGAAAACAGGGGGCACGTGCCCCCAATCGTAACCCGTTAGCGAAGTGCCGCTTTGAATAGGAAAATAGACTTGTATATAACCATTATGAAAAGTCTCTTACAAGTTTTGAATTCAGTGATCATGGTTAACACAGCAAATAAGGTGCCCCCCAATCGTCGCCCTCCCTCCACCCCCAAATATGCTCCGCCAACTATGTTCATTAGACAATTTGCTGCCGGATTTTTAAAACCAGACCATCATCTCAAACTATTTGACAATAAAAACTAATCAGTATTTATAAAATCATATTTTTTTCTATTTCTTCTAAACCAGGATGTCGGTGGTTCGTCCAGATCGTCGATGAAGTCGTCTCCCTTCCACAGAACTCTGCCATTCTTATTAACGTCGTGTGTCGTATCTTTATTTCCAACCTAAACGTACAGAGACCTCTATGATTCATGTATAGCCTTCTACAAATGATCAGCGGAAATCAAATTAGCGAGCAGTACCCGCCGCAAAAGGACTTTCTCTAGTTTTTGAATCAAATGACATGATATATTAGTTAACTTTTATAGTGCATATTGGCGTTTAAAAGACATTTTAATACTAGTAATAACCATCTTATTAGCAACAATGTGGTAGTCAGGATTGTTAATAACTTTCTTATTAGCAACAATGTGGTAGTCAGGATTGTTAATAACCATCTTATTAGCAACAATGTGGTAGTCAGGATTGTTAATAACTTTCTTATTAGCAACAATGTGTTAGTAGGATCGTTAATAACCATCTTATTATCAACAATGTGGTAGTCAGGATCGTTAATAACCGTCTTATTAGCAACAATGTGGTAGTCAGGATTGTTAATAACTTTCTTATTAGTAGTTATTAACTGAGTAACTCTAGCTCAGTTGGTAGAGCACTCCGTTTGGTTTTATCAGGAAATGTAAAAAATTGGATTGTAACAATGATATTCTGTTTACAATTAACCCTAGATTTATCAATGTTGTACGTCATGAGATTTTCAAATATATTTTAGGACACTATTTATGCACCAAAATGCTTGTGGTTTCGTGACTTTGTTAGTTCCAGCATGCAGGTCACAGAAAAAAAATAAAGCAAAACTTACCATAAGTATGGCAGATAATCTTACTAATTACTGATGGAGTTCGTTTTTTTTTTTGTATTCTACTTAGAAAATGAACGATTTCTCCCAAGTTTTTGGGGTCAGTTGCTTACATCCCATACGTGGACTCTAACACTAGTTTAAAAACAAGACGGTACTTTGTGGGTAAAAGATTTTACAACTTTAATTTGATAGTTATAGTTATCTATTTCCAAAGATTACTCCAATGTAACACAAGTAGATACACTTCGAGATTTTTCACGGTATCCAGTGAAACTTTACTAATATGGCCGTTCGTAAATTTGTGTGAACTCTTATGAAGAAAAAGAAAATGTCAAGATTCCTTAATATCTTTACATGTCTAAATATTGACCTAAACACGAAAGTAGGGAAACTAGAAATAAAATTGCACCGTGGAATCGTGTTTCGACAAGTGTACGAGGTTTCGCTTACATCAATCCCCCCCCCCCCCTCAACACTAGACCGATAGCAAGTTAATGACCTGTACTGCAGAGACTTAGGTTTCAAAGTTACAACACAGTGTAAGGTTAGTATAGGCCTAACTCTGTTATAATTTACTTACAAAAGACTGAAATAATTCGTTCAACTGTCACAGGAAAAGTGTACACATTACGAGAACATGTCTACGATATTCCTTGCTTCAAGGATAAGGCACGTTTGTTGTTGTTTTTTGTGCAAACAAGAGTTATCTTCTCAAGTCATTCTTTATTTCGAACTGATAGACAAGAAACAAGGCTGTTAGTCAACAGTACCCACCGCCATCAACTTATGGACTCTTGCATGACCAAATAGTGGGATTCGACTGCCACATTTATAACGCACCAATGTCTCCAAAATGAGTAATTTTGTGATTATTTACTGTTAATATCAAGAAAAGTTATTCCAAAATTATATCTTAGCCCTTTATTTAAAACACTGTTCCATTATAACCATTCCTGTCAACGCCCGCCACTTCCATCTTACACAGTCAAGACGTTTATTCGGATTACGACAGCATTTAAGTTGTTTATATACAGTCTACCAATTTACACACATTTCTTTAAAATAAATTACATCGCTAGATGAGTGTTTTATTAAATAATATAGATTCAAGTGTTTGCTACATCCAATTGTAATATGGGTTTCATTGTTTAGTACACCTGCTGTAATATGGGTTTGAGTGTTTAGTACATCCTGTTCTAATATGGGTTTAAGTGTTTAGTACAACTTGTTGTAATATGGGTTTCACTGTTTAGTACAACTTGTAATATGGGTTTCACTGTTTAGTACATCCTGTTGTATTATGGGTTTGAGTGTTTAGTACATCCTGTTGTAATATAGCTTTGAGTGTTTACTACATCCAGCGGTCCGTAGACTGCGATTCGAGCGCCCTAACCATGTGGCCCAGTGTATTTAGAAAACCATACTGTAGTGTGTTTATTACGTCATACTCCAGCGCTGTACGTTCAACAGTATATAAATATTGTAAACTTGATATAAGGGGAAAATAATCTACGATTTTATTGAATATGACACGGTGAACAATCATGTAATTTATTACGGTATTATCAAAATGTTGACAATGTAACAGAACGAATACTACATCACATTAATATATACCTACCATGAACTAAAAGTTTAGTTATTAAAAAAACATTCGTTTTGACACTACGACAATCAGTTTTCCAACCCGAATAATGAAGATGTACGTATAGTAAAATAGTTGTAAGAATTAAACTTTGAGATAGTCACTTGCTAATGTCATTAGTTGATGACATCACCTTGAATGCGATTAAAAATTTTCCCGAAATTTTACAGTGGTGCCATCTTTTGATATTTTATAGAATTACGGCTATCAGTATTGTTGCTCACTGTCCCCGATCGTTAAACAGAGTCAATTATAATGGTATTTAATACTTCATAATTGCCAAAGAATAACGTACTATTTTATCGTACAATTTCGCGTTTTACATAATGACTAAATCTCTAACAGTGTCATGTTTTAAATTAGCATAACTAATAATTATGATGGCAACCAGTCAACAGCATCCATCGACAACTTTTGGGCTACTTGATTAGTTATAGCGCAATCATGACCTAAATGCGAGTTTTTAAGGCAACGGGACGCGAGCCATAAACCCCCAGATTCACAGTAGGGCGCACTTACAACAGCCCACGTCTGGCCTTGTATGGCAGAGATTCTCTTTACTTTATAAATATAAATATGTTGAAGGTCAAGTTTCCATACTGAAAATAATTTACCATCAATGTCTCATTTGCTTAGTAAGCATATTGATGCTTACAGCATGTAAGTGTAAAAGTAGTCGATAAGTTCGTTGATACAACAAAAAAAACAGCAGAACTCCTAACTCTTCTTGTAAATACACACACATATATTAAATTTTTGTATAAATGTGGAAATGTGTGATTTTATTTTTAAACCAAAGAACAAAGTAACTTATAGTAATAACCGTTTCTCTTCTGAGGTGTGGACATCTGATTTACCAACTTACATGATACTTTTGATAACTTTCATGTAACCCAGTTCCAAAGAAATAATTAGAAACAATACGTTAAATATTGAGTTCATTTTACAGCACAAATAGAAAGATAACTGTACCATCAAAATACTACACTATTATCACATCCATATTTACAGAGATGTATCGAACATCTTCCTAGCTGAGTTCCTCCTCTATATTCCCTTCATCTTTTGACTGTTCGTGGACGAGAACGTACTCTCTTGTGCTGAACCCAAATTTGATAACATCTTTCTCCATTAATTCTACGTACCTTCGAGGTTCAATTTTATTGTTGTTTACAAAGGTTCCATTGGCAGAGTCCAAGTCAATAATGTAGGGTCGAATTCTTTTTCCAACAGTTCCATCCTCCCTCTCAAAGTCCACTAACCTGAACTGAAGCACCGCTTGTTGCTTGGAGCAAGAAGGATGATCCGTAGGAATGTCGGCCACAAGACGAGACCTTCCAAAGAGAAAAGCACTCTGGCGATGAAGAGCAATATGTGGTAAAGACTGGTCTCCTTTGAATGGATACAAACGCCACCTCTTCTTCGGCTTTCTAGCTTCAGACGGCTCGTTGTACTTGACTACAATGCCGTTATAAGTGTTGGTATCTTCAGCCAATTTTCCTGACAGTCCAAAGTTGGGTTTTTCTTTTTTTACATTTGTAGAAACATTTCTCTCATTGTCCTGTTTTCCCCACTTATGTCCTTCTTCCGATTTCCGTTTTCTATCTTCAATTCTACGTCTGTCATTTCTTCTTCGAGCATAGTAGTCGTCATCTTCATCTTCTGGTTCCTGCTTGATTTGTCGGTTGGGATCATAAACTTCGTTTCTGGAATTAAAATGTCCAAAATACTGATATCAAAACTGAAAACCTACTATGAGATTGTACTTAGTTTTTCATGTTAACTTGTTTATCAAGTTTATTACAACAACCTATCAAAAGTACACAAGTTATTTTACCAGAACAGTAAGCTTTTTTACCCTTTTATATATTGATAAAAAACTTTCACAACTAAATTTAAAATGGAAAAATACACCGAATATTTTTTCTATTTAATTCTGGTCTTACCAGGTGGTTTTAGAATATACTTCTTTTAATTTTTCAAAAATTGGAATTAATGATTTTTCTCCTAGTGGTCATATTTAAGTTTTCAAAGTTAACATATCTACTAAAATGAAAATATCTAAATAACAAAACAAACGTTGAATAGAACTCAGCATTCATCCTTTGAAAAGTGTGTCCAAGCTGTTGAAAATAATTTTAATTTCACTTCATAGAATAAAAAAATCAGAAAAAATATATATTTATAGCTCATTCAAATCAAAGATTATTTTCCTAAGCAATTTCATACTTCAAACCTCCCTCTCAATAAGTTACCCAGTTTATTAATGGGGGTATAAAGTATTAAACATTGTATTCTTCACTGGTATTAAAGAACATTTTGGTATCAAATGATCTAGATCAGTGGTTCTCAAAGTTTACTAACACGAAGACCCTTTTAAATTATTTCATGTACTTCCAAACTTAGTGAAGTTTTTTGTCCAGAAAAAAGACGATTCTGTGTACATGAAAAGCTGAATTCCAAAATCAAATGTTTTAATTCATATAAGTTTAATTTTATGAAAAATACTTTTTATTCTATAAATCATATTTTTGTAAATATCTTTATGAAATGTCAGACATGTCTCACGGACTCCCTGGTACTTTGACAGACGACCCCAGTTTGAGAAATGCCGATCCAAATATACCGGCAAGCATGCCTTACACGTTCAAAGAGTCAGCCAAATGGGTGATAGAGTTGAAGAAAAAAAAAGCCCGTTGATTGCTAAATCAAGAATGAGCTGTGCCCTTACTACTGTTCATATTAAACAAATTTTAATTAAGCAGTCATTAATATAGAAATATTATTTATTAAACAAAAAATCTCAAACTTTATCGGTCATTTAATAATACGTCCAGTCTCTCACCTGGTCCTTCTACTGTGTTGAAAGGGGTCCAGCTTCTCTCTGTCCGTGTTTCTACTGTATACGTCACCATCGGTTCCATGTTTGTCTCTTTTTTGAGTATGATACTTTTGTTCGTTTTCCCCTTTATGTCTTTTTCTCTTCCTTTCTTCCAGATCATCAATATCGCTCTCTCGCTTTACAACATCCCTTTTATTATTTCTATCTTTCTCAGAATGATGATGAATTTGGTCATCACTAGAATACCATTCTCTCTGATCATATCTCTCTCTCTTTGTATGTTGTTTCTGGTAATCATTAAATTCTTTATCACCATGGTGTTCCTTATTTTTCTTTTCTTTTCCCCTCCCTTGAATGTGGTCACTGACTACACGTTCTAACTCTTGTGCTCGACGATGATGGTGATGATGCCGCATTTTGGCCATTTATTCTATGCTATCTGACCGATTCCCCTAGTATATAAAAAATAAACAAAAGGGTACAATACATAAATAAATTTAATACAACAAAACAAAATGTCTTGAACAATCCTTACATTCACAGACTAATTACAATTTAGTTCATATTTGACAAGTTAAATTCGTTAAGGGTTGAAATTAATATTTTTAAGTTATAGCTTCTTTAATACATATAATTTAAGGATAACAAGGGACCTACTAGTCCCCGCCTGTATGTGCTCCACCATTTCCGTATTCATGGCGTGTT